CCATTTATGAATCCAAGATGATGATTTGAAGATGGAGAGACCAGTGCTTGATCAAATGTTTTTTTTATCATTTGTACCATTTTGTTAGAGCTTGATCGGAAAAAAGAAAGAGTATTTTGTCCACTTTTTCTGATCTGCCAAAGACGTTGCAACTTGTTATTTAAATTAGAATTGGTTAAATCTTTGTGCCTTGAATCTGGAATGTTAGAGCTCCAATGACGAATTTCTTCATTTCATTTTGCCAGAAAGTTTGCTTGGATTTCTGATTTTGAATGGAATTGTGCTAAGAGAAGGATGTAAAGGAAAAAAATGAAAATAAAAAGAATAAAGAATATACAGTTGAGGGGAGTGGGTGGGTCGGGTATGGATTTGTAAAAAAATGTGACTCTTTTTAGTGATTTTGATTTTCTTAAGTAATACTTATAAAAGGTGAAATAAGAGCTAAAATATGTAGATTAAACTTGAAATATATTTACATACAAAAAAGTGATAAATTTTTTAAATATAATCAAAAATTAGGTGCTCACAAAGGTGTTATTGACTAAAACAATCGTTTTTAGCAGATGGGGCTAAAAACCTTTAAAAGAACAGGTCTGCCAGGGAATTCGAACACATGACCCCTCTCAAGAAAAAAGAAGCAACTAACATAGTAAGCTAACGTGACAAGTGTTAGGCAATGTGTATTAATCAAAATCAACACTGTTAAGGAAAAACAAGAGGAAGAAGAAATAGAATATATAATTTCGAGTCCACAATTTATTTGTGTGTCCTTAAAGAATTTTAACCCCTTCACAGTTGCCAAGGTAATGGATTAAATCCTCCCAGGATAAAACGGAATAATCCTTCCTGCGACAGTGGCAATACTAGAAGCAGGATACCAACGAACGAAAAGAGCGGAGAGAATCACACTTACAATTTTCAAGGAACAAGAAAGCTCAAGACTTTTTGGATTAATGAACTTGCAGAGAGAGGGAAAGTAATTTTTTAGTTTCTGAATTCAGAGTACTTAGAATGGAAGCCAGGCATGAATTTATAGGCAATTGTTGGCTTTGTGAAAAGGTATGGTGTATGTTCACTGTGAGCAGGCATCTGATAGGAAGACAACGTATTGTCTTTTAACGTTCTTTTAACGTTACTTATTAAACTGGGTCAACTAGTTTAACCAAATAAATCGGGTCAGTTTTTGAAGCCCAACCCAGTCCATTTAATTTCCCACCATTACCCAATTCACACTACTCATCTTTAAAACCCAATGGCTAAAAGTCCAACAATCCCCCACATGAATGGGGAATGGCTATATAAAGAAGAAACATACATGGAAACTGTGTGATTCGCAAAAAAAGATTAATTGCATCTGGATAAGTAGGTTTCCCTTTGAACTTTCCGTAGTGAGCATATGTCGGATATACTCGGTCAATCGGTAGATTTGATATCTTTGAATCGTCGAACTTTAGTGTATACCTAGATAACCATATGTCACACAACCAACCCTTAACCGTCTTTTTGGTTCTCATTGTTGTGTTCGTTTTAGCCATGAACACCGCCTGGTTTCATAAGTGCGTAGAGAATTGGCCTTATAGAATTCTCATTGAAGCGGCTTTCACTTCACACTTACATAGGTGATTCCTAAATGTGTAATCCTTTATATTTATACTATTTGATAAATACCACATCAAACTTAGGTAATCATTAAAGAATGTATAAAGTTCTATCCTTGTTACTGAACATTGTCTTCATCAGGAGAAGGAACTAAAGATTTTACTTTGACAATGTTGAACCGGTCAATCACAACTTTGTTTGAGCTCTTTGAACCTAGATCTCGGAATATCCAAAATTCTAGGTAGAGTTACCGCCATGATAACTTGTCCTCGGCCATAGTTCCATTTCCTTAGATGATTTCTCAACTCCCTCTCTAGTTAGGCCTTTTGTAAGCGGATCCGCCACAGTATCTTTTGATCTTACATAATCAATAGTGATAATTCCACTATAGAGTAGTTGTCTAACGGTTTTATGCCTTCATCGTATATGGCGAGACTTTCCGTTATACATAATGCTCCCTGCCCGTCCTATTGCAGCCTCACTATCGCAATGTATGCATATAAGATCCAAAGGTTTTGGACATAACAAAATGTCTTCTAAGAAATTTCAAATCCATTCAGCTTCTTTGTCGGCCTTATCCAAAGCTATAAACTCTGATTCAATTGTAGAGCGAGCGATGCACATCTGTTTGGAAGACTTCCAAGATACTGTTCCTCCACCAATAGTAAAAACATATCCACTTGTGCACTTTGTTTCTGTTGAGCCAGTTATCCAATTTGCATCACTATATCCTTCGATAACCGCAGGATATTTATTGTAGTGCAAAGCATAGTCTTGGGTATATTCCAAATATCCCAAAACTCGTTTCATTGCCATCCAGTGATGTTTGTTGGGATTACATATGAATCGACTAAGTTTACTTATTGCACAAGCTATATCAAGACATGTACAGTTCATGATATACGCTTCACAATACACAAGCATAATCCAATTGAGACGTGCTTTCACCTTTATTCTTTACAAGATGATAGTTTAAGTCAATTGGAGTTCTTGCACTTCTAAATTCCAAGTGTTTGAATTTTTCAAGTACCATTTTCACATTATGTGATTGATACAAAGCTAGACCCTGAGGAGTCCTCTGGATTTTAATTCCTAGAATTACATCGGCAACTCCTAAGTCTTTCATATTAAATTTACTAGCAAGCATACGTTTAGTAGCTTGAATGTCGGCAATGTCTTTGCTCATTATTAGCATATCATCAACATATAAGCAAACAATGACTATATGATTTGGAACGTTCTTAATGTAAACACATTTATCACATTCATTAATCTTAAAACCATTTGACAACATTGTTTGGCCAAATTTCGCATGTGATTGCTTGGGTGCTTGTTTTAGTCCATAAAGGGACTTAACAAGTCGACACACCTTCTTTTCTTTTTCCAGAACCACAAACCCTTCAGGCTGGTTCATGTAAATTTCTTCCTCTAGATCACCATTTAAGAAGGTTATTTTTACATCCATTTGATGGATTTGAAGACCATACAAGGCGGAAAATGCTATTAGCATCCGAATGGAGGTAATTCTTGTTACCGGCGAGTATGTGTCAAAATAATCAAGACCTTCTCACTGTATAAATCGTTTGACAATAAGTCTTGCCTTGTATTTGTCAATAGTACCATCGTCTTTCATTTTCTTCTTGAAAATCCATTTAGAACCCAAAGTTTTGTTACCTGGAGGAAGATCAATCAATTCTCAAGTGTGGTTGTTCAATATAGATTCTATTTCACTATTGACCGCCTCTTTCCAATATTGTGCTTCTAAAGAAGACATTGCTTCCTTAAAAGTTCGAGGCTCATTTTCTCAGGAAGTATGGACCAAATGAAGTGGATGTCCTTTGACGTTTACTTCTTCTCGGATTTTCCTCATTAGGAACAATATCTGTTGTTTCTTCCCGAAGTCTCCTGAACTTTTCGTAGGACGAACCACTTTCCTTATTATACGGATAAATATTTTCAAAGAATTCAGCATTATCTGATTTTATCACCGTATTAACTTAAATCTCGGGATTTTCTGATTTATAAACCAGAAAACAATATGTCTTACTATTGGTTGCATATCCAATAAATACACAATCAACCATTTTTGGAACTATCTTAACCCTTTTAGGTTTAGGAACTTATACCTTAGCTAAACACCTCCAAACTTTGAAGTATTTTAAGTTGGGCTTCCTTCCTTTCCATTTTTCATAAGGAATGGACTGTGTTTTACTATGAGATACACAGTTGATTATTTGGTTAGCTGTAAGTATATCTTCCCCCCACAAGTTCTGTGGTAAACCAGAACTTATCAACAATGCATTCATCATCTCTTTCAACGTCTTTCTCTCCGCAATCTCGTTAGATTGTGGAGAGTAAGGGGAAGTTGTTTGGTGAATAATGCCATTTTCCAAACATATTTCTTCAAAAGTGGATTCATATTCGCCACCCCTATCACTTATTATCATTTTGATCTTTTTGTTTAGTTTTGTTTCAACTTCACTCATGTATTGCTTGAAAGCATCAATTGCTTCATCTTTACTATTAAGTAAATAAATATAGCAATATCTCGTACTATCGTCAATAGAAGTAATAAAATACTTTTTCCTACTGCGAGATGGTGTTGACTTCATGTCGCAAATATCTGTGTGAATTAAATCTAAAGGACTTGAATTCCTTTCAACGGACTTATAGGATGCTTAGCATACTTTGATTCCACGCATATTTGACATTTGGAATTAATGCACTCAAATTTTGGCAATACTTCCAAATTTATCATTTTTCGCAATGTTTTGAAGTTGATGTGACCTAGGCGTGCATGCTATAAAGTGTTTGACTCAAGTAAGTAAGAAGAAGCATTAACTTTATTGATAAGAACTGCTATTACATTTAGCTTAAAAGGCCCTCATTCAGGTAACCTTTTCCTACATATACATCATTCTTACTTAGTATAATACTATTAAAAACAAAAATACATTTGAATCCATTCTTGACAAGAAGTGAGGTAGACACAAGATTCTTGCGAATTTCTGGAACATGGAGAACTTGGTTTAGAGTCACAATTTTTTCCGACATCATCTTCAACACAATGTTGCCAACTCCTTCAATTTTGGCTGTAGATGAATTTCCTATGAAAATTGTCTCGTCGGGTCCTGCGGGGGGCATAGGAAGAAAATAACTCCTTGTTAGCACAAACATGGCGGGTGGCTCCAGAATCAATCCACCATTCTTTAGGATTTCCTACCAAGTTGCATTCAGACAACATGGCACACAAGTCCTCCATTTTTTCAACATTTTTAACCATGTTAGCTTGATACTTCTTCTTCTTATTCTTTTGTACATCATTCTTTGGTGCACGACAGTCCACGACATTATGCCCAGACTTTCCACAGTTGTGGCAGTTATCCTTGAACTTTTCTTGCTTGGGTAATTCTTTGGTCCAGAAGCATTCTTTCTCTTCTTATTTTGTGGCTCCTCCTCAACAATGTTAGCCCTTATTATTGTCGAGTTTCCACGTAACTTCTTTTCAGCATTTTTGTTGTCTTCTTCTATCCTCAAACGAACAATCAAATCTTCAAGTGTCATTTCCTTACGCTTGTGTTTTAGATAGTTCTTAAAGTCCCTCCACAACGGAGGTAACTTCTCAATGAAAGCGGCGACTTGAAAGGCCTCATTTATGACCATACCTTCAATAATAAATTCATAATTAATAACAAGATAAATCTTATTAATAAAATTATTGATTCGGGTCATACCTTAAGCAAGGAGGTCATGCACAATGACTTGTTATTCTTAAACTTGAGTTATGACCGACCTAGTGTCAACCATCTTGAAATCCAAAAATCTTGCAGCCACGAACTTCTTAAGTCTAGCATCCTCAGTCTTGTACTTCTTCTCAAGCGCATTCCATAACGCTTTTGAAGTTTCCATGACACTATAGACATTATACAAGTTATCTTTCAAACAACTCAAAATGTAGTTTTTGTACAAGAAATCAGAATGTTTTCATGCTTCAGTTACAACAAATCGTTCGTCATCCGGAGTGCCTTCAGCCACGACCGGAGGATCCTCCTTGATGAATCGCTGCAAACTCAACGTAGTAAGATAGAAGAGCATCTTCATTTGCCAACGTTTGAAGTCAATATCGGAAAACTTTCTTGGTTTTTCTGCTGGTGTCATAGCATGAGCAGGAGTTGAAAGGCTCGACGAGGCAGCAACACTCGTAATAGTAGCACACATTCCATTAGCATTAGTTTGGTCCTCATTTGCCATTCTTTTCTGTATAGTTGGCAACAAATAGAACTTTTTAAAATCAGTGACGGTTTTATATCTTCAAACTAAATACCAAACCAAACATTCAAAACATAAACGGTGAAGTTTATTATATTCTTCAAATCGTATTCAAATTTAATACCCCGGTAAAGTTTTTATATTCTTTAAACCGGAGTAAAAAATGTATCGAAGTAGAAAGCAATTAAGCTTTAATCTCCAAAATTAATGCAAAAATACTGCTACAAAAATAGATTAAACTTGCGGCAGAAATTAACACACTGCAAAATCAGATTAAATTGCTACTGCTGTCCAAAATAAAACAGCACTGAAACGTTGTTATCAAAATAAAAATAACTCTAGCAATTGAACTTAACTAACGCTAACACCAAAAATGCCTCTTAAACCTATAATAAAGTTTTAACCAATCAGAAGCAAGAAACGATTGAAACCAAATTGGATAGAAGCAACAGTAAACGATTTTGTTCCTTTTTCCTTTATTTTCAAACAAAACAAATTTCAAGGAACAACAAAATATGAAGAGGCAGTAAACGATGTTCCTTTTCCTTTATTCCAAATCACAATATATATTTTTCTCCTTTAAATCGTTTCAAAATTAGACAAACACTTACAGAATTTAAACAAAACCTGCAGCAAACACAATTAAACACAAAGACACGCTGCAGTCCAGAAAACGCAGCAATAACAGTGCAAAAACCAATGCAGCAATAACAGTGCAAAACCACGCTGCCGTATTTTATAAAATTCCTTAAGCTGTTAGGCAACGTGTATTAACCAAAATCAACACTGTTAAGGAAAAACAAGAGGAAGAAGAAATAGAACATATAATTCCGAGTCCACAATTTACTTATGTGTCTTTAAGAAATTTTAACCTCCTCACAGTTGCCAAGGTAATGGATTAAATCCTCCCAGAATAAAACGGAATAAACCTTCCTGCGACAGTGGCAATACTAGAAGCAGGATACCAACAAACTCAAAGAGCGGAGAGAATCACACTTACAATTTTCAAGGAACAAGAAAGCTCAAGACTTTTTGGATTAATGAACTTGCACAGAGAAGGAAAGTAATTTTTTAGTTTCTAAATTTCTGAGTACTTAGAATGGAAGCCATGCCTGAATTTATAGGCAATTGTTGGCTTTGTGAAAAGGTATGGTGTCTGTTCACTGTGAGTAGACATCTGATAGGAAGATAACGTATTGTCTTTTAACGTTCTTTTAACGTTACTTATTAAACTGGGTCAACTAGTTTAACCAAATAAATCGGGTCAGTTTTTGAAGCCCAACCCAGTCCATTTAATTTCCCGCTATTACCCAATTCACACAACTCATCTTTAAAGCCCAATGGCTTAAAAGTCCAACAACAAGTGTTGTTATTTTTACTCTTTGTACGATATTTGTATTTTCATACTAATTACATACACATATTTATTATAATTTTTCAACGATGGCATCGCTTCAACCAAGGTGGGTCCTCCCTTCCTTTGTGTTCTTTATCTGATTTTAATGATGTTTTCTCGGTATTCTTATTGCTTTACTGCCTATATACACATATTGAAATTGTTGTTCTTACTGATTCTTGCCTTCCATTATTAGTTGTATATTGTCATACTGCACAGGTTATTTGACTAGTGAGTATCTTGATGTACCTCGTCACTACTCCATCGAGGTTAGTCTTGATACTTACTGGGTAGAGACCGTGGTGTACTCATACTACACTTCTATATATTTTTGTGCAGAGCCAGGTATTGAAGATATCGGACTCGGACAGAGTTAGCATATCGATCACGAGGATTCAAGGTAGAACTGCTTGGTCGTCGCAGTCCCTTGGAGTCTTTCCTTATATTGTATTGTCACCTATTATTTGAACAGTATTGTATTTCGATCATTGAGACCCTTCCATGTATTCAGCTAGAGTTTTTGACTCAGTATTTCCAGTCTTGGGAGGTTGTTATGACTATTGTCGCATAGGGCTTATTTTCGCTTTATTTCGGTATTTGTAATAAATTCTGTTCAAAAAAAGGCTTAAATTCTTATTGTAATCGGCTTATCTAGTCTTTGAGACTAAGTGCGATCACGACGCCTGTGGTGGAATTTCGGGTCATGACAACTCCTTGCTTGGAGAGCTTGCCATACTTTTTTAAGGCTCATTCTTGGCTTTTCTTCTTTTTTTAGGGCCTGTCTGGCATTGATTTTGGTGCTGGAGGCTCAATTACCATGTTATTAGTATCAGGCCACATATTCATGTTAGGGATTGGTTTAAAAAAGTATTGATATGTCTTGAGAAATGTCTCCTTTCTATGCCAGCTATCCACATAATTATATGGTTCTTCTTCTTGGTAATAGATTGCACATATTGCATGTGCATAAGGGATCCCTCTTAACTGCCACGATCTACAAGTGCATGTTCTTCTCCTAAAGTTCACTATATATATATATATATA